TTCCCTCTTTGGTCTCCGGTGGAGGCAGTATTGCAGTCGAAGTGCTGGGAGGTTTATCTTGCTTTCCCTCTTTGGTCTCCGGTGGAGGCAGTATTGCAGTCGAAGTGCTGGGAGGTTTATCTTGCTTTCCCTCTTTGGTCTCCGGTGGGGGGAGTATTGCAGTCGAAGTACTTGGGGGCATGTCTTGCTTGCCCTCCTTACCATCTTTTCCCTCTTTAGGAGCTTGTTTGGCTGTTGAAGTGCTGGGCGGGTTATCTTGCTTACCATCCTTCCCTCCTTTACGTTCTGGTGGAGCCAGTATTGCAGTCGAAGTGCTGGGAGGTTTATCTTGCTTGCCCTCTTTGGTCTCCGGTGGAGGCAGTATTGCAGTCGAAGTACTTGGGGGCATGTCTTGCTTGCCCTCCTTACCATCTTTTCCCTCTTTAGGAGCTTGTTTGGCTGTTGAAGTGCTGGGCGGGTTATCTTGCTTACCATCCTTCCCTCCTTTACGTTCTGGTGGAGCCAGTATTGCAGTCGAAGTGCTTGGGAGGCATGTCTTGCTTGCCCTCCTTACCATCTTTTCCCTCTGGAGGAGCTTCGTTTAGCTGTTGAAGTGCTGGGCAGGTTATCTTGCTTACCATCCTTCACTCCTTACCTTCTGATGGAGCTAATATTGCAGTCGAAGTGCTCGGAGGTTCATCTTTTTTACCGTCCTTGCCATCTTTCTCGCTCCTTTGGAGCTGGTATCGCTGTCGAAGTGCTTGGAGTCTTGTCTTGTTGCCCTTCTTTTTCCTTTTTACGCCCTTTGCTACGTTTGCTGCGTTTGCTTCGTTTACTACGTTTACGTGGTTTGCCGTCTTTACTAGGGACTTTGGATGGATGTGGTATTGCAGTAGCAGTACTTGCTGGCTTGTCTTGTTTACCGACTTTAACATCTTTGGTCTTCGGTGGGGGAAGTACTTCAGTCGAAGCACTTGAAGGTTTGCCTTGCTTACCCTCTTTACCTCTTCCGTCTGAAGGAGCTTCTTTAGCTGTTGAAGTGCTGGGAGGATTATCTTGCCTACCATCCTTCACTCCTTTACCTTCTGATGGAGCTAATATTGCAGTTGAAGTGCTTGGAGCTTTATCTTGCTTAACATCTTTCCCTTCTTGACCTTCTGGTGGAGCCGGTATAGCAGTTGAAGTGCTCGGAGGTTTGCTTTCTTTATCATCGCTACTTGGTAGAGCTGGTATGGCCGTGGAGGTGCTTGAAGTCTTATCTTCACTGCCTTTGCTACGTTCGCTTAGTTTGCCTTCTTTGGAGGGAACGTCTTTTTGAGGTGGAAGTGCAGTACTCGGAGGCTTGTCTTTTTTACCTTGATCATCCTGCCCTTCTGGAGGAGCTGATTTTGCAGTGGCAGTGCTTGGTGGTTCATGCTTCTTCTTTAGTCGTTTTTTACTGTCTTTGCTGCGTTTACGTCGCTTACCTTCTTTGAGAGGAACTTCTGGTGAAGCTGGTGTTGCTGTGGCAACGCTGGACGGCCTGTCTTGTTTTGAATCCTTTTTCTTAAGTTGTTTTTTACTACCTTTGCTACGCTTGCGTCGTTTCCCATCTTTGCTAGGAACTGCAGATGAAGCAGGTGCAGCTGTGTCAGTGCCCTGAGGCTTATAGTGTTGACCATCTTTGCCATCTTGTTCTTCAAGGGGTGTTGCTATTGCAGTGGTCGTGGTTGGGGGAACATCTTGTTTGCCAACTCTACTATCACCTTCAGGTGGAGGCGGTATCGCAGTGGTGGTGCTCGAAGGCTTGTCCTGCTTGCGGCCTTTGCCATCTTGTGTTTCAGGTGGAGGTGGTATTGCGGTGGCAGTGCTCGGAATGTTGTCCTGCTTGCCGCCTTTGCCATCTTGTGTTTCAGGTGGAGGTGGTATTGCGGGGGCAGTGCTCGGAATGTTGTCCTGTTTTCCGTCCTTTTCCTCTGAAGCTTCTCTGGCCCCTTTTCCTCCTTTATCGTCTTTTCCTTCCTTGATCTCTTTCCCGAGAAC